TCAGAGTTACTCAAAATTCAGTTTCTGACCTTTTTAGGCTTCCTTGGCTGATGCTGAAAAACCAAAGGATTTCCACTCACTAGGAATCTCTTATGCCCAGGTGTACAGGCAACCTGGAAAAAGCAGAGCCACTGGCTGTAGCTACCGGTGATCAGGGAAAAGACTGGCCAGGAATGAGAATGGAAAGCAAGGAAAACTGGACAAGGTTGCAGCTGTTGACCAGAGCACAACCTCTTGTGAGCTATGCCTGGCACAGCAGACTACAGAGCATCCCAGAGCCACACCAATTAATGAGGCCAAATCATCCCCAGGACTGACACCACTGCACAGTTTCTGTGTGGCTTTACACCACAGGGCTCAAAGGGAAGCCTGGCTCACAGCAGCACAGCCTTCACACTCTTCTCCCGTTGTTCCTTCTGTCTGCTCTGCATTTGCATTAAAAGCACCCAAGTAGTCCATAAGTCTCCGGCCAGACTGACTGAATGGCAAACTGAGATGCCAGTGAATAGTTCTGGTGATACTTCTCTGTGCTTTGTCACCCCCTCATTCCAAATTGGCTTGAGAACATCAAGAAGCAGCTGATGGTCATCACAAACATCATCAGATCACTACTGGCCTGGCATGTATTACGTGACCTTGAATTATGCATTCACAGCAGACAGTATGACCGGAAAAATCAGGAAATACCAGAAGAATGTGCTGAAGCCTCTATGAATTCTCCAATTCTCCTTGTTAGAGGATGTGCATTTTCAATAGCGGATTTTCCCACAGATCTGTTGTGATTTTCCAAAAATAATGTTTTGCAATAGACTTAAATTGTTACATTACTACTGTTGTTTTTATTACTACGGATTACAAATGAAACTCTGGGCTTTCACGGGGCTTAGTTTCAACCCACAGTTTTAGAAAGGAGTCTCAGTTTTGAGCACTATGAAAGACTCCTTCATCTAGACATCATCATTTAAAACAAACCAGTAGGTTAAGAACTGAGTTATAACAGGATATAAAAATAGCTCTAACACAAGAACAATTTGCATATCAGATTATTAAATGAAAATCTATCAAAGTAGCATTTACTGAACTAAACAAATAGTCTATCTGTCCTGTCTTTGGAAATATTTTGCCTCAGGGAAAAATTTAAACCTGGGCAGATAATCAGGGTAGGGTATTTGAACATTTAAATCTTGCTGGATTCTTTAAAGTAGGTGTTAAGTGGTGCATTAAATTTGTGCTGTTTCTTCTGAGCAGGGTAAATTTGCTCTTCTGTAAATAGTGGGAAAAGCCGTTTACAATAATTTGAATCCATGAATAAATGTAATGTATTAAAATTTCTAAAGTACAAGCATTAAATGTTTTTGTACGTAAGCCAAATGAGTGGAATATCCAGGACTAAAATTATTCAAGTGACCACAGAAAGATAATATATAATTAAAATGACATCTGCACCACTAACCGACGGGATGAGAGAAAGTGACATCACAGATCTCATATAAGCTTGCAAGCGTGTTATTAGATCTAAACCTGGCTGTAAAATTACTATCTACCCAAGGGATTATCTTTAGGCATTCAGAAGCATTGTTTCATTTACTGATAGAACAGGGATGATAACAGCCTGACTTTGCTTGTCACATTGTTTTTTGGCCTTTCTTTATTCTTTGTTCACATTAGCTGTAGATGAGAGGAAGACAAGCTTCAGTTGAATGAATCACTGTCGTGGAGCTTTTCATTGTTTTACAGTTTGTTCCGAAGGCTTTTTTTAATACTCCCTACCCCCTCCCCTCAAGAAAAGAACCCCAAAGCATTTTTAATGGTGATAAAATCAATGGGGAGTAAAAGATGCACACAATGTAACATCTAGGAATGTGGCAAACTAAGGAATACCCATTGGCCTAATACACCTCAGGGAGACAATAAGACTTTGCTTATAACTCTCATTATTAGCACAAAAAACCAGTGGCTGCTAGTTATATCTTGGCCTTATTAAAATTCAGTGCCAAAACTCCAACTGGTTTCAGTGGGTACATTTCATCATCTGAGACCAGGACAGAGACACAATTCTCCTTCGCATGCAGGGCTATCTGGGACACCTAATCTCGACAGATTTAATTTCTGCATTAAATTGAAAAAAGCTGTTCTGTTCTGTTTCACACACCATCTTTATGTCTCTGACAAATATTAGTTGCCTATATTTGTAACAAGACTCATGTGCCACCAACGTAAAACTTTCAAAATTCTAAAAGCATGTGACAAGACAGGCAGTGAAAAGGGAAAAAAGAAAGCTCCAAACTTTCCAGTCACTTTTGAACAATAATGATCCTGAACTGCAACGGGGACTTAATTTGCCTTTAGAAATCTGTCCCTAAGAATGTAACTCCTAGCACTTGAAATAGTTCCCATATGCCAATTTTGCAAACTAAGTGAAAGTCCAGGATCTGCAGGCAGTCATGGAGTTGTGCATACATAGCTAAGGCAAACATGGACCTTGCACTTTCCTCCTCATTGTCCTGGTGCTGGGCAGCTACTGCCATGTGCTATCTCTTACAGCACCTCCCAATATCCCTTCCCATAGAACCTTAAACCTCTGGTCCATCAACCAGTGTAACCTGCAAACAGGCTGCATTATGCAGATTTCTGTCGCCTGATCTTGTCACTACAATCTTGCTTTTCTCTGAGATTTCCCTTGTTTAAGGGAGTGACCAGCTCTAGCACAGTGAAGGGTTTAGCCCATGATTGATCCCCTCAGTGCTAGGACCACAGAAACACACTGCATTTCATTAATAATGGTTAAGACCATTTTACAACCACTTCTAATCCACATTAGATTGTTTCATTGTGCCTTTTATCCTTTAATAATTCATACACAGAACAGACTTTCCATGCAGACCCGTGTGCATGAATATTTGATTTAAAACTGTCCATACCTACAGCCACATCTGTATGCCATTAAAAGTTCACACTGGACCTATGCAGTAGAAATGAGGTGCTTGCAAGCAGTTTATACACATCATCACTGCCAGAAAATATTCCTGCAGCACTCAGCCTGGGTCAGGAACCATATTTATGAATCACAAGTTGTTTGTGGCCAATTAGTGGTTCTTACCATCTTCTAGATGAAAAGAAAAACAAAGACTGATGAAGGTGGGCTGAAAGAACAACGAGCAGCATGTAGTGACAAACTGCAACAAATGTAGAAGTGAGACGTCACTGCAGAAAAAGTCAAAGAGCAGCAATATCCTCGAATATAAATTTTATTTTTAAATGTGTCCTGGAAGTAACGTAGGGTAAACCAAAATCCATTTTATCCTGAAAAGTAGCAGCCGTAGAGTGAGGCTGTGAGAATAAGTTGGGAGGATCCATTCTCACCTGTGCTGTTACTCCATCAGCATTACTCTTCATCTCAGAGAGGTCAGCATCTCTTACACTTCAATATTAACAGATTCCTTCATGTGGATGTTGTGTGTTTCATGCCAATTTTTATGCAAAAATTTGTCTCAATTACCTCAAAAATGAAATTCTCACCAATATTCTTTGTTTCTCACTACACATCCACATTCCTTCATGAAAAGGAATGAAACTTCACACAATAAAAGAAAATTACGTGAAATGGGGAAAAAAAAAGAAAAACTATGAAAAGAAATTAAAGGAAACCTAATGAAATGAAATTAAATGAAATCTCGAGATTTCATATCATTTCATGAAATGAATTTTCATTCCATGAAAGGAAATAAAATGAAAAATCAAATAATAAAACTAAATTAAATTTAAAATCATGGAATAGAGGGAAATGAAATAAAAAGAAATTTAAAATTCAAAGAAATTAAATGAAACAAAGAAATTAAATGAAATCTTGGGACTTCGTGTCATGAATGAAAATGAAATGAAAAAGAATGAAATGAAATTTAATTGAATGAATTGAAATTAAATTGAATTAAATGAAATGAAGTTAAATGAAAAGAAATTAAAGGAAATTAAAGGAAACATATCAAAATAGAATTAGATGAAATCTTGAGATTTCATTTCCTTTCCTTTCACAAAATGAGTTTTCATTTCCATTCATGAAAGGAAATGACATGCTAAATCAAAGAATGAAATGAAGTTTAAAAACTGAAATTAAAAAAAGAAATTTAAAAACTGACATTAAAAAATGAAATGGAATGTAACAAAATGAAATTAAATGAAATCTTGGGATTTCATTTCATGAAAAGAATGAAATGAAATGACAAGTCAAAGAATGAAATTAAATTCAATAAAACTTAATGGAAAGACAGGAAAAGAAAGGAAAAATAAAATGAAATTAAAAGAAATCTTGGGATTTAATTTCCTTTCATGCTTGTTTTTTTGGACAAAAGAAGAATTTTTGTGTCATAGAACCAAAGTACAGGCCTACATTCCAAATGCTTCATAGACCAAAAATAGAGTTTCATAAAAATGTATGTGCCTTCACATACTCAATAAAAAAAGAGTGACTAAAAACAAACACTAAAAACCTCCTCAGAGTGCCTTATGTCCAAAAAGAGAGGTAACAAATGATTTGCTAACAATGGCTAGCCATTTGTTTGCACATTTCAGGTGGTATTTACTACCTATCTACTCAGCCATCTCAGCATCAAGTGACTGCTCTAAGCAGACATTCAGGTTCTTCCCATGTTCCAAAGCAGCAGGAACTGTCACAGGATTCCCTGAAACCTGCCCCAGCTCTTAGGGAGAGACTGCGTTGAAACGCTCCGTGGGATCTTCTTTTTCCCTGGTTCTTGAGGAAAAGTAGTGTAGACATGACACATAACTTCAAGACGTGAAAAAATTCCACAGGCTGAATCCTTCCTTCTGGGTCTAGAAACTAGGCTGATGGTACATAAAGCTAAAAATTAATCAAATCTTCAATAAAACACTTCAAATGTTCAAAGAGATTGGATTTGTTTTTCAAACAAAGGCTTATACCACTTCCAGTTTTTCCTCAAAACATTTGCTTATTCATATATTTATCACAGAAATAGTCTTACCTCAGCTGCATCTTGCTGGTGTCTGTAGACAATTGCATTTTTTATGGTTTGGATAAAAAATCCATTCAGTTCCTTTTGTTTCTTATTGGGAAAAATGCGTAGCAATGGGATCATTATGCATGGGAATGAAACTGTATGAGATTTTAAAGAAGAAAACATTGAATCAGATTGTGAGGGCATATAATAGTCCCCTTCACTCTTCCTTAATATTATAAAACTTATCAAGTGGGATGTGCTCCTTTTATGAAAACTGATTTTTCCTCTCTTCCTCTCCCTTTAGCAACTCATGGGAGTGGAAGAAAAAGAGGATTCTCTTTTAGAGATGTCCTGCTGGTCAGGACTCTCTTTCCAGAAAGATGCATTCCAATCTTGTTTCTACAATAACTCAGGATTTTGGTTCAGATTTTTGGTGTCACAAAGCCACCACAAGAAAGGGAAGCATTATTTCCCCTGCCTGCTCAGACAATTACATATGGAAGGTGGGGGATCTTGAACTAGCCTAGCAGCTTACAGCACCAACATGTGAAATGGGATAGTTTTCATTCCTGTTTGCAGCTCTCCAGTATTTGGGACCTATACGAAGGTTGGGGTTCTTTAGCAGGCCCTCTTGCAATAGGACAAAGACTATGGGGTTTAAACTAAAAGAAGGCCAATTCAGATTAGATATAAGGAAGGTCTTTACAATGAAGCTTGTAAAACAGGGGCACAGGTTGCTCAGGGAGGTGGTGGATGTCCCATCCCTGGGAACATTCAAGGTCAGGATCGATGGGGCTCTGAGCAAACTGACCTAGTTGAAGACATCCCTGCTTATTGTGGGGGATTGGCCTAGATGGCTTTTTATGGTCTCTTCCAACACAGACTATTATATGTTTCTATTTATTTTGCGTCTCTAAACAGGCCACAGACTCAGAAACCCGGATGTTATCACAAGGATGGTCTCCAAGCCATACTTTTATAGTCACAACCTAGAAACCTGAGTGAAGTCTTACCTCCTAGTAAACCCCTCATTAACTTATGAACAACTTAAGACTAACAAATCAATCGCTGGAAAAACCCTGTCCTGCCAACAGGGCAACTACATTGTGGAAATTCTCACCACAATGACAAATGAGCAGAAAGAGCTGAAGCAAGGAATCCAACTCCAAACACTACAGAAACTTTCTTTAATGAAGGACACACTCTAAGATGTATAGGGGAACATTTCTGTCCCTTAAGAAATTTGTTACAGATCACATTTTGCAATCAGGTTAAACGTTAACCCCAGGGCAATTTGGATACACAACTGCAGAAGGAAACAGTTGATGCACTGTGAGTACAGGTGCAATCTGTAAAATGCCAGCAGGATCAGATGGGCACAGGAAACTTTGCCACTGTGCCACCTGATACTATTGTGTGCAGGTCTAGATAACAAGATAAAACCTCAAAAGCCTTGATTATGCTGTGGCTTCCTCAGCTGTGATTCTTACTGCCCTTGAATTATCAAGATCATCACCACCATGAAGCCTTAGCTTTCATGGCCTAGAACTACATGGCTTTATACCCCAGTCTTGCATTGCCAATCCGTTAATCTAAAATAAATGCATTCTTTCATGACACTTGTGATCTTTATCTTTCAGAGCCATCAACCAGGCTGTGGACAGCATCAAAAAATAATTGGGAGTACTTACACAATCTGTTTATTCTCTTCCACCTCTTTTCTTTAGTGGGCTGTTAATGGATGGGATTTCAATCTCTACTAACCAAACCCAGTGCACAAAAACTTTACATGTAGGTCCCAAAGGGCAATTACTCTGTTTTAGTGAGAAGTGCATTAAAACAAGTATTGTAGAAACTGCAGGACCCAGGAACCTTTCTGTCAGATGAACCAGGAGCATTGTGTTCCTGGACTCTCAGTTTCTCGAGTAAGTTTCATTAATGGTAGGAGACCTGTAGAGCATATGGTGGAAATCTCAAGGGTAGAAGGTTGCATTCTGAATCTCCCTGAAATAATGTCAGGTATAATACTTCCTGCTCTGCTTCAGCACATTTTGCAGTTTGAGAATGACTTTTATGAAATTACCAGAAGAAAGTAGACAAATGTAGACTATACTCACGGATTAGAATGAGAAGAGGCTTGAACAAAGACATTTCAAAGAATGTTCTGCAATTCTTAACAAAGGGGTCATCAGGATTCTTCTGAGAATCCACTTCAGTACCAAAAGCTACGCTACCAACAACATCCAAGGTAAAACAGTTGTAACACCTGCATTTAATTGAAGAATAATAAATCGTTATCTAAAAATCACATATCCATTAATATCTTGCTTCTACAAACATCACATAGCATTAATTATTGCCACCAAGTTTCCTTTTGCTTTTAGATTTGAGCTTTGCCAGCAAGGGGTGTTTACATCATTTGACAAATGCTGATGCTTGATAATGATCACTTTCTCCACACCTACAAAGTGAATGTATTTTCATACAGCTCAGTAATTCCACTAAAATGTTATTAAAAACCATTGAATTTCTTATGACCTAGAAATCAAATGTAACACATCAGAGATGCAAAAGCATTTTCTTGGTACGTATGCTAATAAGTGAGATCATTCCTTTCTCAATTTTAACTGCAAAAACCACACCTACTTCCAGTCCAGTCTAAACTCTCAGAGATAAGAGGTTCTTGAGTAAAATTAAGGTCCTTAAGGATTTCCTTCTTCTTCTTCATACAACCTTTGTAATATAACTCTGGACAAAATGAAGAGACACTGACACCATGTGAAATCTGTATCTCTGCAGAGAAGCAACCAGTGCTTTGAGAGACCCAAATGATCTGTGGACATGATCTAGAAACTTTATAAATGGCTCCCTGCATACCTGACCATCCATCCAGTTGTCTCACCATCTTTATTTTCCTAGTGGGCTTTAGCAGCTCTATTAAATTTTGAGATAAGTGGACCGAGAATGTAAAATATCCTTGGAATTTGATTCTTCTGATCTGTGGTGAAGTAAGCAATGTCTGTACTTCCATGATCCTTACAAAAGGATAATATCAATCTCTCGTGTTTTAATCTGAGTGAGCATGTATGAAGAGAACAGGAGTCAGGTCCATTATATCCCACATATATTATGTGAATCAATATTTCTAAACAATGATCATTGTGAGCTGTCATTCTGATCACACCAGAGAAGATTTAAAAGATAACAACAACACTGCAAAACTAAGTAACTTCTTTTGGTCTTCAACTCTTACACACACACACAAACAAAAAGCATCATTAGAAGTTAAAATTTAAAAGAGAGGACATGGTATAAAACAATAATTTCAGAAGGATTCAATCTTCTACCTCTCCAAGGTACTGAAAAAAAAACAAGCTTAAAAACTAAATTTTGAGTTGTTGGCAAAACACAAATGGCTAAAGACAACTAAGGTCACAGGAGGCTACAGATAGGGTCTTTACATCCAAAAAAACAGCTCCCAAGGCAATTCTGTAAAACAGCACTGGAATGATAATCACATTTCTAAATACGTCAAACCTGCTGAAATGCTAATATGGTAAAACAACTGGAAGATCACGTTCTGAGATGGTCAACTGTTGCCTCTCAGTTTTTGCCTTCTGATCTCGAAACATTCTTCTATACTTTCTCACACTCTCTTCTGATAAACAGAGGTTGTTTGCATTCCTCTTTGGAGGAAGAGAAATTGACAGAGTAACAAGCCAATTGGAGTCAGAGATTCTTCTAGCATTGTCCAATCCAGGATCATTGTTAGATGTCTATAAATAGACATCTCATGTAAATAAAGTTGTCTTTTCCTGTTCACCTAACCTGGTGTGAGGTGTGTGTCTGTCTCCCTCTTTTCTGCGTGCATCATAACAGACAGACAGTCAACGTTAATCATTTATACTTTCAAAGGGTCTTTTCCAAAGTGTCTCTTGAGAGGTGAAACCCTATAATGGTTCAATAGCTAAATGACCAGTCAAAGACAAAGGACAAATGGAAAAATGGAAAAGACAGGAAGGACTGAAAAGGTCAATTTTCATCACAGCACTAAGCTAGTATAATGCATCTTGAGGTTCCATAGAATCTCTTCAGTTGTTTAATAAAGAAATCTCTGCGTGCGTACACGCACACACACTTGCAGGTGCACACATGTACTTGAAAAAGGGTGAACAAATTATGGCTAAATATCCATTTCTTCTGGTGAAACAATATTATTTGTGCTGTTTCAGTTTGGGCAAAATCATGAAGAACTTCAGAGGGCACTGATCAACCCAGCAAATGAAGTGTAAGCAAAATGATGCAAAAATAGCGCCTGGTAGAAAGAGTGCATTTGAACTACTATCCAGGATCTTAGAGGAAATGCATCTACTCAGAGAAGGGACTAGACAGTGTTATGAACACTTCAGTGAAGACCTCTATTGAAAGAGCAACAGAAAAGATAATAGCATATTAAATGCATATCAAATGAGAGAAAGTACAATATGGAAAATATGAAAATGTCATCTTTTAAATCAAGGTTGCATTTTCATCCGAGAACTGATCCTGCTGTTTCACAAAAAGCTAGCATGCCATGAGAGGGGGTTATGAAGAATGTGGTAAGAATGATTAAGTGCTCAAAAAACCTCATTAAAAAAAAGGAAGAGTGATGGACTAGATATATTTAATACTAGATCAATTCTTATATTTGTACATCATTGGCAGCCTGTAGAGAACAGACTGGACAGGGGCTGATGCAGCCTTCCTTTGTGCTTCCAGCTGTTAAAATTTCATTAAATAACTGCCAGAAATACATTAGATGCTTTACCAAAATTACTTTTCAAGTATGCAATGGCTGTCCCCAGGAAGAAAAGGCTTTTATCAGACACACCCTCTATTAAACTATGATCTCCACTTTTTAAAGTGAGGGAGGAAAGAAATCTTTTATACAGTAAGTGTGAATTTAGAGTAACTGCTGCTATTTACTTTTTTGGCGCTTTTTTTTTTTTTTAAATAATCTGCTACTAATTTTTGGCATGTTGAACATACCTCTGGATATCAAAAGCTTTGCCAGAATCTGCGTAGACTTTCAAGTTACAGAGGAGGATATCACAGGCCTGGTTTATCAGTGGTGTCATCTAGAAAGGAACATAATGAATTGTGAAAAAGCATTAAAACATTAAGGAAAAAAAAACAAAAATAATTATTTTAAATTGCTTTTATCTGATAAATGGGATAGAGCTCTCAGGTTCCTTTGCAGGTGTTGTTAGGCACAGGTGAGAAATGTTGGCCCTTTCTGCTCAAAATAAACCTACATATTATTACAGAGATGCCCTTCTCCAGCTCTGGGGCTAAATACAAGAGGCTGTGTCACCTACCTGACCAATGGTTCTTGTCCCATTGTTGCTACATACACAGAGAGCTATCAGGCAAAAATATCCCCCTCTCAGTTTAATCATTCCCTATTCCAAACAACAATTTATCATGATCTCTATTTGGACTACACCACATTTAGGTTACATATGCTCCAGGGCAGAAGGAATAATGTTTTCCAAAGACCTGTAAAGGCATTGGATCAGTTCTATCTTGCTGTCTCTTAGTTTGAGGGACTTAACATGTTCACTAGATCCTGGATACCACTACAAGCTGCTGAGGGCAAACTGCTATTGGTACACAAGGAAAGGCTTTTCTGAAGTGGTGATGCCATTAAATGGACATTTGGGTGAATTTATTCATCTAAGGGTTCATTCCAGTCACTGACACGTGCTGGTCAGGTAGGCTTAGCCATAGCTTGGCTGTAGCCAACAGTGCAATATTCTCTTGTTTAGGGCTTCATGGAAACCATAGCACAGGCAAACACGAAGGCCTCATTAAAGCCTCACTTTCTGTCTCTTTAGCTTCGTGCATATGAGGAATCAGACGCCAATCAGACACTGATTACATCAAATGGGGGGACAGAGGAAGGGCATAGCAGCAATCCAGCCATGCATAAAAAGGAATTATATCTTATAGCTCTTTCCCATACAGACTACCAAGAACAGCCTACAGCTTAATACCAGTCTTGCCTCAACAACTATGCCAAGGATCAGCAATCTACACACAGAAACTTGCCTTTCCTTCCTGAACTACCTCCTTCAGCATACGGATGTCAACAAACATGAGAACAGACATCTCCTACTCCTCTGACATTCTTGTTACCAAAAAAGACTTACGGCAGCCTTGCAGCACACTCTGAGAGCTTTGCAGCCTGCCCAGCCAAGTCCATTTTGCTTGGCACTTCTACCTCTGTGAAACTGGCATAACACTTCGTGCACAGGCACACTGCCATCTTAACACATGGGCAAGACTATACACAGTCAAAAGGCCAACGCAGGAACATCCAATATGTTTTCCGAAGGCACAAGTCTGACTCAAGAATGTGTCTAGCTGCTCTTGAGGTCCCGTGCCTATATGAGAGAAATTGCATTGCAAAGCTGGGTCGATTTGGGCTTTGCCATAGTCTCACAAGATAACTCTGGTGCCAGATTAGTGTTTGGTAAAAGTAGCTGTTACACTTTTGGGAGGTGCACACTGCAATATGTGGCAGCCTTCTTCCCCTTTTGGCTTTCTAAACAAGGTCCCCTGCAGCAAGCTTCTTCTGGACTGGCTCAACCAAATTAATACATTTCTGTTCAACAGATTGAACCGAGGTGAAATACTTCTGGGTCCAGGCCCCCTCCATGAACTGAACCAGCCAAGGAGAACAAAATGAAAATCCGTTTTTTAACAGGTACGATGTTTCTGAAACAGATGGTGATCATCTCAGATTTTCCTTTTATTGCCTTATTTTCTCTTTTATTCTTCATCACATCACCAGATCTGTAACCAGCCAGCTGGTTGCTATCACTTTTCAACAGCTGGCAGAGACGTCAGGGGCACATACGTCTGGCCAGGGCATCCCACAGTACCTCTGCACTTTGCACATTCCACCAGCCTTTAGAATCACTATTACAATTCATTCCTAGCCATAAGGTATTTTTATTAGTAAATCTAACCAGGAAAATAGGGACAGGGGCACATGGATTTGATTTACTGTTAGTATGATAATAACAGTCATGTCAATAGGACAACTATCTGTATATGAAAGCTACAGGGGATATCTACCCTGGAATCCTAGGCTGGGTTTAGGTTTTTATTCCCCTGGGGGACATAAGTTAGTCCAAGATTGCAAACTACAAAGACCACAGACTGAAACATTCTCAAGTCTCATAACACCTCAAAATCTTTGTCCAATTGTCATGAAAATTGAAGTAGTGTCAGGGGAGGTGAACTATACCAGCATAGAAACTGGCACAGAAACAGACATGTTGATCTACACTGCCTTGGGTATCAGTGACTTCTCATACATTCTGATTTGCCAGTCAGAACATAAAACCTGCATAACCTGCCTGAGATTCAGTTCTTGGTGGGTAAATAAACCCCAGCTGTTTTGTGTTCAGATTGGCTGAGAGTAACAGGATGAAGAAAAATCTAAACAATATGGTCCCTGTAAATATTTGATCTGACAGTTATCTAATAGCAAGAGTAGCCCAGAGTCCAATTTTCTTTCTTTTTGCCAAAGAAGAGCATTTGGGGTTAGGGTTTTCATGATGCCAGGGGCTTTGCTGTATAAACCCTGCCAATATGTTATTTGGCACATAACAACAATTAGCTTCTGATTCTGTGTACGCACAGTGCATGTGGAGCTTTGCACTAATCAAAGGCATCAGAGTCACATTCCTCCAGTTAGATGTGGCCCTCAGTATTCATCAGTATTATTATTCCCCTTATTATTAGCATCCAAATTAAAAACTAGAAGGCTGGATCATATTCACTGTAGGCAGACACACTGGAGACTTTACTGTTCACAGACAGGAAGCAGAAGTCACATCGGGCCTCTTGTCCCACGAAAGTTATGAAATATAAAGGAAGGAGAAGGAGAAAGAATATATCCCTAACACAAGAATTGCTTCTCTTCCAGATTTCAAGTCCCTGAAAAAAAAAAAAACAGGAAAGGAGTAGAGTGTCAGAAAGATGTTTTGTGAGAAGATTTGTTTCCATCACCTGACAGCGGAGCCCTGATATTGCTGGGCACAACTCATCAAAAGAGCAACTCAACAAGATACTGGCCTGTGGCTCAAGTTTATGCACATTTCACGTATCAGTTTTTATATTAGTGATTGGCTTTGCCTTAGGTGAGCACATTTGCTTTGTCTAGCAACAACAGGAATTTCCAGAGACACTCCCAAAATGCTTTTGACCAACATGCACAGACTAACAGCAAATCAAAGAAACCTTTATGGTTGGACTGTCAGATCTTATGTCCTAGTGGGACATGAAAGATCTACATGCCTGAGAGTGACACTGGAGGATTTTTCTGCACTATTCTGCCATGTTATCACAAGTTCTGCTTTATGTCTCCCTTTGTTTGAAAGAAATCCTCCTCCTCAACACAAACTCCACAGCTTATTTAGGACAATGCTACATTAAGCTGCGCTCTCTTTAATTTTTCTGTTCTGTTTTGTTTAAATGGTTTGTTAATGGAGGAAAGGATCCCTGGCATACTGATAGGAGATGACAAGACTACTGCAGCACCATCAGAATAAATAAAAATCAATAGGTTTTCTGCTGGTGTTGGCTGTAAAAGAGAGTAAAGCTATTTATCAAGGCTGACAAGGGGTCCAGAACTGCAGGATCATCATAGGCACCACAGCAAAAATAAGAGGAACAAAATAAGAAATACTAAATAGGGAATCAAGGTTGGTACAGCAAGATCACTAACATGTCATCTTGTTTCAAGACATTAACAGCTGAGGAGAGCATGACAGGAACACTGCGAAACGTTTCTGTTACTTAGAGCCTCTAGGTATTATAATTCACCAATTCCTCATGAATTACATCTTGGATCAACTTTCAGTGATTGATATTGTTCCCACTTAGCAGATAAGAGTTGTTTTGTGTGCAGAGAATTTAAGTAGCTTCTGTCAGGTCACCCACAGGCAGTCAATGGCAGAGCTGGAAGTGGCATTTCTTGGGTCTCCTGCCTCCTGTCTCTCATTTCTCATTCTTAGTGCTCCCACAGCAATGGCACTATGAGGTTCATTCAGGGGTCTTGCTGGAAAGAGCTTATTGTTAGATCTGCTACCAGCTCCAGTGGCATCTCATATGGGATGGTCCCCAGTCTTACTGCAGGATCAAGCTTACAAGTCTATTGCTTTATACTGTATTCACCACCACTAGAGTGTTTGTGTTTGGTGCTATCCAGAGCCAAACCTTCCTTCAGCTGGAGTGGATTCCTTTAGTAATCTTTACATGGTTGTTAGAAAAAGAAAATTAAAAAGGGAGACCATAAAGGCAACAGCAAAACAGTGCACAGCTTTTAAAGGCAAATTGAGAAAAGAGAAAACTGGAGAAGATGTCATAAACTCTTGAAAAATGTTACAAAAACAACTCTCCGAGACACACAGAAATCACTATATTGGCTACCCAACTACTCTATAACCTCTAGTTTCAGTTCATTTCCTGTAACTTCAAAAAATTCAAAATTTCTGGAATCATCTTTTCATCATGTGCTGGGTGGCTGTTGGAGATATTTGCCATACTATGGGGAAATTCCTCAAGCTCAGTGAACTTCTCAGTGACATTACACTGTTTCTTTAAAGTGACAAGGGCAAACCTCACCTCTGCCCACAGCCCCAGATGCCTCTGTGGAGCACTGCAGGTTAAATCTTAGCAACACATATTAGCTCTGTCTTGAGTCTGGTACTCCAGCAGCCAGGCCAAAGTGACTTCTCACTTCTCACTCTTGCTAGCCTGAAACTGTCCTTTCTTGAGTTTCTGAAACGGAGATATCAGGAACCTATGCTGAACTCTGTCCCTCCGTGCATCTTTCATCTGAAGTGATTGCAACGGGGAACCGAAGGAGTTGTTAACATTTATTGCTCTGTTAATTTTCTCAGAGCATCCAGACAGACAAGTCTGTGTTTGGAGTGGCACTAGGGGCTGCAGCACTCAAAGGGAACCACTCTCCAAAGACACTCATTGAGGTCTGCAGCCTCTCCAGTGTCACTGTAGAGTCTGCATAGAGGAACAAAGTTAAGGCAGTCATCCAGAGTGAACAGAGTGGAAAACTTTGGTGTGGGATTCTGTCAAAAGGGTTGATATCTTGGAAGAAGAAATAAGAAAAGTCCTAGTGGTATTTATAAATATGTATAAAATAGCATATCTAGGTTCTTTTGCAATAAATTATTACCAAATTTGTGTTTGTAATTCAAAGTAGAGAGGAAGGGTTTATTATAAACAGGATGTCTTGCAGATAATGCTGGATACTCTGTAGTATGGCCAAAACTAGAACATGGTATTTTTGTTTCCATGCTGCTGTAGAGGTTCGGAGAGAATACCAAATATGGGAGAGTTAAAAAGTGAGATCATAATTAATGAGCATTGATTTCCTTTGAGAAGTGTTGGTATGGCTTCTAAATTAAGCAACAGCAGGAAAAGCACCCAGGCAAGGACTTAAGTTGTATTAACTTCAAATCCCAGGATTGCTAATGTATTATGGTAGAAAATGAAATGCAAGGCTGAGGAGCACATCCATTCAACAGCAGTTCTTAATCTCACATGGGCTTACTTGCAAGTGTCTGTCCGTGTAGGGGTGTATGGACCTCTGGTGAAGGCATGGGAGAGAAAAGCAAAGCTGAACCTTTCAGACAGACCTGCCCTGCTCCTCTTTTTTCCACTTGCTGTTGAATAGGAGGAGAAAATGACAATTTCCAGGTCACCCTAAGTCCATGCACAGTCACACGCCTTCCCACAGAGCTTGGAAGAGGCAGCATGGGCAAAGTTGATTATCAGGCTTAAATTAAAGATCTCAGTCTTTGCATGCAAGACTCCATTTTACCTCCTACCATTATTCCTGCAGTCCAGCTCCACCAACAAGTCGTGCAAAGGGACTGCCATGACTTCTGTTCCCAGCCTGGTTTGATCGGCCAGACCCTGCGAAGTCGTGTGTGCCCAGCCCCAAAGCAGGATCCTGAGGCTCCACTCTTGCCCTCACTGTGCTCCTCAGCCAAGCTTGCCCGGCTGATGCCAGCAGAGGTTGCTCTCCACAAATTGAGAGGAGTGCAGCGTTATCTTTCGTTAGTCCACGAGCAAAGAGCCAATGACCTGCAGTAAGGCAGATTAATTTCCGCTAGGAAAATGCAAAACTCTCCTTTCCCCACCATGCCATGTGCAACTAATCGCTTGCATATTTAAACACCCTTGCCTTGCTGAAATTTCGTGATGAAGTCGGTGACAGAGCAAATGTCAGGGCGCATAACCAATGGCATTGTCAGTCGTGATTAATCAGCATCTCCGCCAGGCTCGCGGCCAATTAGAATTTACCATAATAAGGAGGTGACAGCCGGCGTTGCTAAGCGACCGCTGTCTATAGAGCTGGGAGAGCCAGACACATTTAGATGTTACTGTGGATTTCGACAGCGGCATGTCAAAACAACACAATCGTCTGCCCAGTGGAAAATTTTACAACCCAGGACTGGGCACTGGAGTGAGGCATGATTCCCTTTCAGAATAAAACATAAAAAGGAAGAGGTGATTTTTTGGTGTGGGGTTGTTTTTTGTAGTTTTCTTTGAAAGAAGACTTTAACCAGTCAATCATTTATATACATTTAATTAAGAGATATTGTATCACTGGAACAGGACTTTGTTACTGAGTAATGGGTTCCCATGGCTGAGCAAATGCTGATACATTTCTAGGAAATTAGCAGCAGGTCATTGCTGAGACATTTCTTTTCAGTCAGAGGTATTTATCTGGCAATGACATTCTGTTCCAGTGACTTATTTTATTACATGAAAGGATTAAAGAATAAGAGGAGGAGGGAAGGGGAAGGAGATGGAGAAATGAAAATAACTGACAGCAGTTCCTGTGTTAACATGGAAGTTGCTGACTCTGCACATCAAGAAAAGCTATGTTCCAACTGGGAGCAATAACACTTCCTGGACTTAAGCTTACTCCTAACAGGGCAGGGGAGAAGAAGGGGTAAGGGTCCTTCTTGAGTATGCTACACTTTCATGGATAAACTGACTTCAACAGAGGAAGACAGAGAATCATATCCTCAGATGAGCTATTTGGATTTTCACCAGTCTGTGATCTGAACCATGCTGTGCAGAAGCTCTGCCGCATGTGCTCTTCATGTCTAAATAAAGTGGAACAAAGTAGCAGGTTTTACCTATCCTTAATATGGACATACATAAAGCAGATGCTTGTACAACTCTTCTAAATTATGAAAGCAGCAATGTCTACACCTTACCTCTTTCAGTTTGGTATCGCTGAAGGCTGGGGTCAGGAGGCTCCGCACATACATCCATCTGTCATCACGAAGACAAAGGATGCTATCAAGCATTGGCTTGGATATCAGGTTCGGTTTCTAAGTTGAAAGAAAGCATAATTCAATTTTAACACAAATGCAACTACAGCTACTCAAGACTCTGGAACTTGGGAAGATTGCTCAGGAATAGCATTGCACTGCTGTCCCACAAAGAGAAGTTCAAATCAGGCCCAAACACCAAGCTAAATGTGGATGAGGCTGAAGAAAATTTCTCTTTTGCTGCACTCATTTTCTCTTAGGTTTGTAAAAGTCCTGGACCAGCCTCATAACTCCTTTGTCAGACTGCTCTGGTTCTGATGTTCCTGGTGTTCTCCTGAGATCGCCTTCACTGAACCCTGGCTTCTTCCTTGTACTTTCTAAGGTGACTAGCAAGAGGACTTGTCAACACTCCCTCTCCGTGTGACATGAGTGCCAACACATCACATGCTGGTGTTGGTGGGGGACACAGTTTCTGGTGACAGCTGGTATGTCAGACTGCTACATGCATTTTAAAAGTCTTCAGAAAATATGTTGATCAGAAAGCAGGTCCCAGTCCTTACTCTGTTTATAAGGAACACTCTCACCAAGAAATTGTGGCCTGTGACTCTTACAGCTGCAGCAGTTGGTCAAATGTAGTAGTTTAAAGCACTGCCCCATAAAGTGCTGTACCAAAATGACTACTGTAAATTTACTCAATCTCCCACACCATTGAAGAAAATCTTGTCCAGAGAACAGTGATATTCACCATGGAGTAAAGGGATATAAAAGACAAAAGAGAAAGCACATCAGAAAACAACACATTTCGGCCTGGAAGAAGAATCACAAGATATCCAGCCCCACAGCAGAAAATATTACATCTTATGCCAGAAGATTTCCTAATTGTTCCTAAAGACCTCCAATAACAGAGATTCAATAATCCCCACTCAAACTCTTCTAGTGCTGTACTACATTTACCATGGTAGTAAACTCTCTTTTGCTGGAACTTCAGTCTTTCTGCTGTCACAGGCATAAAAACTGGGTTATTGTCCCCATCTTTGCAGCAGCTCATACATACAGAAGGCTGTAACAACCACTAAGCATATTGCAGCCATCTACCCCACATAACACCACTTCACTCAATATATACTTATCAATTATGTTATCTAGGACTGTTTGTTCAGTGTTGGTACTGATCCTCTGCATAGTCTTCCTGATTTACTTCTTTCTCAAGGTACAGTCTTTGTGACCCAATATGGTACTCCAGGTAAGGAAGCATTTTTTTTCCCCAGACATTCTGCAAGCTGTATTCCTCTCTATTCACCCTAGAATATTACATCCTACAACATGACACTGTACTCGTGAACTGGTTTGTGGTTCCCTGCAACTTTCAGACTTCTTTCTGAACAATCACTCCCTAACAAGTTATTCCCTGGCCTTTATCATTAAAGCTAGTTACTCCTCAGAGTCACATGTAGAACACGTCCCTCTGAACTATGACCACTCCCTTTATGATTACTTATTCAGCAGAATAAAACCAGCCTGAATTTTAGCCTTTTCTTTCAAAGCGTCTTTGATCCTTACCAGTTTTCTACATACATTTTTAGCATAGTGCCATCATCTCAATCTTTAACAAAAGTACAGAATAATTCTTGCAAAAAAGGCACCCTGTGCTCCTCCCTTCCCTTCCAATGGCAGTCTGTTCCAAAATACATTTCAGGCATTGTACAGCAATGTCCTCCAGAAAAAACACCCTAAGATTGGTGGTGTGGGCAGAAGGTGTACACTTCTCTAGTTACCAGGAGGTACAGAGACATTCATTTGTGCATGTGAGATCTTCTGTATACTGCAACAGAAGTACAGTCCCCCATGTTATCAGTAGCAACAGTATGCATTTTACTGGGAGAGACACAAACAAACAAACGATGCTTTGGCCATCCCAATGCCATCTGTTGATGCCTTTTGTCCTCTGACCTTTCCTTTCAGTCTTTCTTTCATTACTACAGTACATGAAAAATGAATTCTTAAAACCTGTTACACACCTGGATACTTTAATATCATTTTGTGCCTTACCACTCCTGATTTTATTGCCATTACATGCTATTTTTTTATCCTTTTTCTTGGAAATCTGACCTACTTTCCACGCTGTAAAAAAACAACTCTTCAGGAGCCATGAAGAACTGGCAATTTAGCTACGCGGGTCTTCCACTGCACTTCCTTAACTTTCCTCCTTTTTGGAAGAGTTTGCACTTAATATAGTTTCTTTAAGGAGCTGCCAGCTCTCCTTAACACCTTTTTCCTTTACACTTGCCAAATTCTTACTACACTGCATAAGCTTGTAAAATGCAGAAGCCCATTTTATATTGCAAACAGGCTAATGGGGTAGTTTTACATTTTCAGAAACACCATCCAGTGTAGTAAACTAATGTCACTGGGACGGCACTACAGACCAGTTTTGAGCAAAGATGAGCAGCTTTGAAGCAGAAAATTACATATGAAGTAGAAAGAAGAGACTGACTTAGGTACTGTCATCAGATGACTATTGTAAAACAAAATAAGGGCACTTTTTAAATGTATATATAAAGTATTCTATTTTGTACAATGACAAGGAAAACCTTGGACAGGCTGTCAGAGTTGAAACATCTTGGACTGTTTTCTCTGAATAGCCTCTTTAAATAAATAATGTTTTCTAACTTGTCAGTAGGTATCTCTCTTGAAGACCACAAGTGCAGCTAGAAAGACTATCACTCAGTGGAGCGCTTCACCATTTGTTACAGATATTCAAAGGCACAGTAGAATCAAAAGAAAGAGCCTCTAGACAATTGGAAATGAGTATCATCCTGTCAGAAAGTACACTATCCTCCACCTCACAGTTCTTCTGTGCGGCTAGGGCAACCATTTACATGAAATCTTGACTCAGCTGGTCACTAAACCAGTATTCCTTATATCTTTGGTCTTCATTTCAAACCCTGAGACCCAGATTGCAGTGTTCCTGAGCACTCACTGAAATCAACAACAGGGAATGTGCCTTGATCCTGTGAAATGCATTAGTCCAAGAAATCAGGTCAGTGAGTGCAGCCCCCAAATTAGCAAACACTCTCAGATCTGTGTTTCAACCACCAGCCTTCACTTCTGCTTTATAACGTGGAGATATCATATCACCTCCTCAGAAATGCTAACGATACATTAACATTTCTGAGGCACTCAGAAGCTATAGTGAAAAAGTAGAATAACAATTCCCACAAGGAAATGACCAATTTTGTCTTCCAAGTAAGGTTTAAATTGCATATAGAAAAAAAGAAAAGCAGAAAAAATTATAGGGCAACACTTGGAAAAGTATTTTGCATCCAGTCCTAAATTGAAGGCTACCCAAACTGTGCACTCTATAAGACAAATCTCCTTTGCAAGACAAAGCTCCACTTAGATAATAACAGATGTGATATAAATCTCACTGCATTTGTCTTGAAAGCAAATTCCCTTCCTAAAACCAAACATTCACCCTAAAAAGTGCTCCTAATTGCATAAAGACCCAGTTACTGAACAAAAAGCCTGTTAACTATAATATTATAACTAAACCACCAACTACAGCATTGCTTTTTAACACTCTACTTTATGACAGTAATGCTCCCTTAACATATTTTTGGTGTGTACAGTATTATATACATATAAATGCTGCAAGGAAGGAAAAACAACTTTGGCCATAAATTATTTTATTCTAGATCTTCAAAACTGGGCATACGAAAATATGTTTGTGTTTATTGGAATACCATCAGCATGACTGACAGTGTATACTGCATTTCATTTATCAGGTTTTCTTTATTGTTTCTGCAAACACATTCCTCCTAATTGCATAACCTGTGCTACAGGTTCATATAGCAGGAGTGAAAATGGGTTTGGCATAAGAACGAGCCTGAAGTATCTTAGTGAAAGATGAAGCGTCACCTCTTTCCAAATGGACAAAATACTAGATGTACCTAAAAAATCTTGAGCTTGTAAAAATCAGGGAAAAAAATTGCCATAGGAGGCAGCTGCAATATTTTCAGGGGTGGGATTTTCATTTTTGGGTAGCAAAGGAGGTTGCTTTTAAGTCAAATGCTATCAGGATCATGTTCCATCTAGCATTATCTAAATGCTGAACAAATGCTCTGCGCTTCTTTCTCCTGTGTAATCAACTATTTCTGGTACAGCAGTGCTCCATGAAAACTACTGGCAGCATGGTAATCTCTTGCAGTGTACCTGCAAGTGCTGCTGAGTTCCCACAATCACATGCCATCAGCCACAACGAGGATAATTGGAAGGAATTGTTTGAGAACAAATCCTTTTAAACATCACTGCTTTTAAAATAAAAAACAAAAGAATACTTGCAGGTAAGTGGCATCTCTGCAATTGATGCAAGAATTCCCTCCCCCATAAGGTGTTCCTCAGGATGACCCTTCTGACCCATTTATTGGCTTGTTTGTCATGAGTCAATTTGGTTTCCTCTGTGTTACTAAATAATTCAGACAAGTGCATCTTTGGCTCTGAGGCCAAGTGGAACAGAACACCCCCATCCCCAAGTTAAATCCCTTTCCCAAAAACAGTGGAGATGTCCAAACTGCTTCTGCCCATGGTACATGTTCTCCCGAACTGTGCCCAGACCGTGCCTGGGAGACAACTAACCAATACACAACAAAACTGTGCTAAGAAGCAATGTGTCAATATGGACATCTGTAGGACCTGTTCGTGCACTAATATCCTGTCCCTGTTTTATCTTGGAGTAAAACTATAGCCTTCTGTGATTCATACAATATTTGTTCCTTTCCCAAATGTGTCACTAGCAGGCTAGACTGAACCTCTGGCAGCCAGCAATGACAGCCTAGAACAGAAAAAAGGGTAACAGCACCATGATGTTCCCTTAGACACCTCTTCTTCTTTCTTTGGTAGAAAAATGAGGAATAAAGTTTTGGCAGCAGAAGGCAGTCTTTAAGTATCCTGAATAGATGAATCTTCAAATAACCTAAAGGGTACCTTTACAGACCTTAATAACCACTCACCTCCACAGAACCAGCTGCTAATCTTCTCCATGTGCTTTGACAACACAGTGA